TTACTTCTGGCATCAAAGAACCAAAAACAAAAAAACAGAAAAAAAACAGTCCAACTTGATCCTGCATCAATTTATTTTGAAAACCCACATATGACTGTTAACTTGGAAGCAGGCTAGTCAATATCTGCTATGATAAAACTGGGTAATTTTACATTTTTGTACCCAAACTACCTCTCCTTTGAATTTAAAATGGTCAGACTTGTTGCGTGATTGCCTGGAGCCAGTTTCTTGGCTGTGGCTAACCCAAACACATTGAGTGCATTCTGCGCAAGGTTAAAATGCAGCCATTTTATCCCTAAAACGTTGCCTAATTCTAGGAAGTGGTCACTCTAAACAATAACAAAGCAACTAAAACAAAAACAATGTCTGAAAGTCTGATCCATGCCGCCTTCTCATCATTGTTTAGTTGGTTAAAAGGACTAGATTAATCTACAAGGGTAGTGAGGAAAAGCATATTTTAAATATTTTATTTGATTTCCTTTTAACAAGAAGCCCACATGTAAATTCACACCAGCATAATGTATCCATGCCTCTAAATCCTTTTTATTTCATAGTTGTAGTAATCATCATTTAACCACCGTCTTCAGCTTGTGTGCTAAAAACACAACAACAAAATATCATGAACTAAGTAAGTAATAACTGACAGTGTTATTAAACAGATTTCCTGTATATTAATCCACAAAGCGTTGCGTTCAATTTCTGTCTGGGCTTCTTCTTCTCTAAAGCCACATAAAACCAGAGACAATTGTTAAACAGCCTCTACCTGTACCTACTGTGACCAGTGAGGACGCTTTTTAGATTTTATTTGTAAACAATTATAAAACCATGTGTTGTTCTTTTATTTTGCAGAGATGGATCTAGCGATTTATCACAGAAAATCCCATTAAATATTTAGAAGTCAGTGGATGAACCATGAAAAATTACGAAAAAGTTAACAGAGTTTTATTTAGTAAAGCACTCTAAGCTGTTTGAATTATACCGAATGTAGTATTCTGTGAATTTTTAGAGTTTTCTACCTGTTCGAATCACTTTTGGCAGCATCTACAGTAAAAAAAAGGTGGTGTTGGGTGTTGACGCTTTGTGCTGTAAGAAGGGTGGGGTGGTTGTGGCTTGTTTCGATGAGCCAGATGGACAGCATTCCACGACAAGCCAACCATGAGGTTTGACATTCAGTTCACAAGATACTGGTAGGTTATCAATAAAATCTTCAATTCACTCGTACGTCCCAGTTTCAATTTCCAAACAAGCTGTAGTTTGTGTAAACCATTGACTGCTGCAGTTAATGGCAGTAATTAAAATAGCAGGGATTCTCTTCCAGTAAAAAGATGTCATTATTATTTGGCTCTTCTAAGCAGAAGAAGGACTATTTTCATTGTTTCATGTGTTTATTTACATTTTATTCATTAAGATTTAGCCTGAGTTTTGGTTCCAAATAGGATCAAACTCTCTCACAGCATTAAAAACCTCAAATAAAAACATTTATGTTTGTAAGAAATAAAGGCCTCTGCAAACCAAGGTTACTTCAAATGTCACCATTCTTGAAATGCAGAAAATACTCTTGTTATATTATATTATATTCAGTGATGCTGCAGAGTAGGAAGGAAATATTCCATTGATTACTTGTAATTTCGAAATTTCCTTGGGATAAATAAAAATTTCCTTGGGTGGGATTAAAGAGCTCTAACAAAAGAAAATATATGAGGAGACAAGGTCAGTGAGTTCTAAAGCCAGGTTCCTATTCCGACATAGATAAGGCCATTGATAGACCTATTTACCTGCATGACTATTCTTTGACATAAATTAGGGTTAGGCATTGTTCTGGAAGGCCGCAGTCTCAGCTCTTTTGCTGCCTCTTGTTGACCTCTATGAGGGACCGGTACTTAGATGGAATCAATGGTCTATTTAAGTCCCACCTCCAGAAGAGCGTTTCCCAGAATCTGGGGGATGTTGGAGCCATTAACAGTCTGATAGTTTATAACCCTTAGCCGTGGCTGTAAGGGTTAACACTGCCTGTTGCTCTAACCCCTAAACCTGATTGGGGATACTGGAAGTAAGGGACGCCATTAACCTAAAGTGCTGACTTGTGGCTCATCAATGCAACAGTTACTGTGAGGCCAAGCGTTTGTCAGAGGGACAAACACTCAGTACTCAAAGTGATCTTTAAATGCTGGAACATTGTATTATAACATTATTCTGCTGTTAGTGTATCCATATCTTCCGTATTGACCCTTCTGCTGTGCTGCTTGGTCTTCATGATGCTGAGATTGAATTGCAAACAGGCGAACCCTGTTTAGATTAGGCAACCTCTGCCATTAGTTTAATCAGATTTTATTTAGGGGACAGGACCTACATCAAAATGTTCAAACAACCTGTTCAGTCTCAGTTTTACAAACAGTTAAAAAAGCCAGTACTGTTTCCTTATATCTTACTCTCAGCTTTGCTTTTGTTCATCACTGAAAATCCTGTTTTTAAACTGACAAAATGTAAAAAAAAAAACAAAAAAATTTAAATGTAGACATATTGTATCAAAATACCATATTTTCATTTCTAAATATTTTTTACTTCATACCAAACACTGGTGATGAAAATTCCACTAAAAGTCCTTTTGATGTTCATCTGTATTCTACATACCTCATCTATACTGTAATGCAAAGTGAGGTAAAATGTGTATTTTTAGGATCTGTAACCATTCCTGATTCCAGGTAATCAGTGTTCAGGTCTAAAGGCACAAAACATCAAACATAAAGTGTACCAGAGTATCATCTGCATAACATCAGACCGATGAGGAACTCGGTCTTCTTCTTTGCTGAACTGGGAATGGGACTCATCTTTCTCAAAGGTGAGCTGCTTATATTGATAGTTTCCTTATATTCAATAGGAGCTAAATGCAGACTGATTAGCAGAGCTGTTAGTTCGCTGATGATAAGATAAATAGTTTAAATTTTTATTCCACTGCTTGTCTCACTTTACTTTGCGTTTTTGGGAACAGCAAATGTTAATCATGTTTTTGGCATGTACCCGTACAAACCAATTGAAGCGCTTACTAGGAGGAGCGGAGAGAGATGAATGTAGGTGTGGTCAGAGGGACAAAAATAGTCTGTGACTCAGGAGGTATAAAGCTACTGCGAGAAAGGAAGTGCCAGTAGTAATACTTCTGTGTCTATCTTCTATCAGCTTCTTTTGGCATCTGTTTTTGTGTCCGCCATTCTTCCCCACCTTTTGTTTATCTAGAAGTCTACAGAGGTTTATTTAACTTTCACCCTTCCTCTTAGGTTTGAGATTTCATCAAGGATAATAGGATCATAATAAACATCATGCTTTTTCATTTAATATAAGTAGATTTGTTTATTTGCAGTTCAAATGGGCAAAGACTAATACTAAATTACTGTTGTAGCCGATTTAACCTAAATTGGTCCGATGCTAACACAAGGGTTAAGTAACGTAGATCAAAGAAAAATGCAAGAACCAGTTACTGTAGGCAAAGAAAAAAAAAATAAAAAGCTTAAGGCATAATGGACTTTCTAACATAACACACAAGCCCAAAAGCCTTAAAAAATTGCAACAATGTCTCCTGTCTAACAGGACAAATGCCTTTGGGTTTGGAAAGAGAATAAGTACGTGATTTTATTTACACTACTTTTTAAACAAATATACAAGATCTCCACATAGATAGATCCCTTTAGTTGCCAAAATGTAAAAAGGAAACAGTCAATGTGATTTCTATAAAAAAAAAAGTTAAAAGGACATCACTATCATTAAGTCAGTCTCGCTTGTGACACTCTAACCAAGCTAATCTGGTTGGTATGAGCTTCTTTTTTAAAGTGAATGTTTCCAGATTATTTATTTTTGTTTTTATGTGTCCGGTAACTAAAACTAACAATAAATCCTTTAGTACAACAAAAAAACCATCACATTTTAGGAGAAGACCATGACGAAGAGTACATAATGAAATGTTATTATAATATTTAACAGTAAAAGCACACAAAGGCTGAGGTCCTTTAGAGTGGGCAGGCCCCTGCTTAAAACCTTCTATGACTCTCTGGAGGCATCAGCCCTCCTCTACCCTGTTGTCTGCTGGGCCCCTGGCAGCACAAAGCGGGACAGAAAGAGAATGAACAAACTGGTGAGAAATGCCGCTTGTGTCCTAGGCTGCATTCTGGACTCAGAGGAGGAAGTGGCTGAGGGGAGGCTGCTGTCCAAGCTTACATCCATCATGGACAACACCTTCCACCCTCCGCACCAGTCTGTAGAGAAGCTGAGCAGTTCCTTTAGCGAAAGACTTTTACACCCTGTTTGTGAAAAGGAGCGCTACCGCAGGTCTTTCATCTCTGTGGCCATCAGCCATTTGGCACCCTAACTGCAATAACTAATGTGCAATTAAAATGTAATACCCTGTGCAATGACCTGTGCAATAATCCTGTCAAATAAGAGACTTCAGCTGTTATATTTATCTCACTATCTCACAGTTGTTCTTTACCTGGTACCATTTTCTTGATCCACCGTATATATGTGGACGCACTATATATACCCCATGCACCTCTTCCTCTTTTTGGCACCTTCTTCTGGCACTATTGAGCCAATGTGACAAGTGCATTTCTCCAATGTGAGATCAATAAAGTCTATCTTATCTTATCTTATCTTATCTTATCTTATCTTATCTTATCAAAGACATTTTAGCATATGATGCAAAAACGATAAAAAGAAGTCAGTATTTTTTTCATGAGTGTAGCTTTAAACTTTTCCATACTAAGGCTGTATTTCCCTTTTTTTTAACTACTGAGGCCATGTTTTGTTCTGTCTGACCTGAATCTTTGCAGCTATTATACTGCTATTTTATAAACGTATGGTTTCACCATGGATGAAAGAAAGGAAATACTATAAACTCTAATCTAAAGCATCATAGTTTTGTCTGCTTGATCCTTCTCTACCAAGTATACCAGGTTCAAGAGCTATTTATACTACATGAACTATTTCCCATTGTGTACACATTATGTACAAACTACAAATCTGACCTTAATGGAAGAATAAAAAAGAAGTCATACAAATAATGTGTTTGACACAAACTATAGAACTTCAACGCTGCGGTTTCCAGAAACGGGCTTCCAATCTTAGAAAACTTGAGCTATTTTACAAAATAAAGTGCAAAGATGGAGAAGGCTAGCAGACATTACAAAACCCATGCAGATGTTAAGGCAAGGAAAGGGGATTCTATAGAGCCTTAAAACAGTAAGAGTTAATAGAAGAGTCTAAGAGCATTGCCTCCAGTTTCAATATGATGGACCACTTTGTTTAGTCTATTACATGGAATCCCAACAGGATGCCATAAGGTTTGTAGTTTTGTAGTAAAAAAGGAAATTAGAAAATAAAAGGAAAAAACTTTTAGAGTAAGAATTCTTGTTTTCAACTGGAAACAACACTAGGATGATTTTCCTTGATGGTGAATGTGCGTCCTGTCCTGAAGTAGTTCTCTATTTCCTCCAGCGAGCGTTTGCGAGTCTCGAAGACGCACACCACAGTGAAGATCAGGTAGGGCACGTAGAGGCCGTAGGCGTCCACCAAGTGGGTGAAGGCTTGTGTCAGGGCGAAGGCCGTCACCCAGCTTACGGTGACACATAGGCCTGATGCCACGCCCCTCGCCACCAGTGGCAGAACCTCTGACATCAGCAACCAAGTGATGGGTCCCCATCCCATGGCGTATCCTAGGAGACAGCCAACAATGAGATGACAGAGCAAGAAACAGGTGGAGCATACAGTTTTTGTTTTGCTTCAGTCACACAGCTGTGACGACATGATAACCAGTTTCACCTGCCAGGATTTAATGAGTTTGAGGACATGAATGTAGACAATTAGGAAGGCAACAGTTAATTGGGCTCCAGTAGGTTAAGAAAAAAATCTGCAGCTGTTACTAATGGGGTTGCAAAAATAAACAGTGTGAATACTCCTAATGACTTCTGCATGTTGATAGTCCAGTTGTTCGGTGAATCGGCTGGTAGACACACCTTCTTCCACCTTTAACGCAGAAGAGGCCTCTTTCCTGATACCTTGTCACTTTGATATTATTGTTCTATGAGGCCAACATCGTATTAATCACACAAGTAAAATGTTATTTCTTTAAATCAAAATTAAACATGAGGAATGGTGTTGAAGAATGAGATAAATACCCATTTAAAAATAGATGCAACCAAGAAATGCTTATAATAAACATTTTCCATACAGCTAAGAGCTCATCATCATCATCATGAGGAAACAACTGTTATTATGATAACCAGAAAAATAATAAAAGCTTAAAAGTTTTCCTCCCTAAATAAATATACATTTTGGAAATGCTCATGATCAGGTTGGCAGGTTATCAACTTAATAAAACTGTTTTAATTATTGTGAGTATTGTTACAGTAGTTTTCCTTTTGTCTTTATTTTTTCTGCCCCCTGCTGGCAAAAATATTGCATGCCTACAATACAATAAAAATAATTAACAATTTTATATGCATATATGACATAACAGAAACTAGTAGCACTGTTTTTTTTTTCTAGGTTATAACCATAGTGGCCTTTTTTCTCACTGTGACTATGACCATGATATAGCCAATTTACCATATCTTTCTCATTAAGAAAATGTATCAGACACATCTATGTGTTCCACCAGTCCTCTTAAGTAAATAACATATGATAAATATCAGCCAGAAGCTCTAAATAATATTGAGTGATTAAAACATGGATGCTTTGCTCTAAAGTTAGCACGCAGCTTCAGTCACTTCAGCTAGTTACTGATCAGGCCCGAAATCAAGGTCTAGTGCTGGATTCAGACTTGAAGCTCCAAAAGCATTT